TTCTTTCTTTCTTTCTTTCTTTCTTTCTTTCTTTCTTTCTTTCTTTCTTTCTCTTTCTTTCTTCTTTCCTTCCTTCCTTCCTTCCTTCTTTCTTTTTCTTTTTTACATGGGTCACTTGGAGCAGTTATTGAAGGCATTGTTTCCCCCATTTTGCATGTGAACAAACCGAGGCACAGATTTGTTTCACAAAATGCCTCCTTTCCAATGTTGCAACCGAGTGGAGATCAGAACCCGAGGATGCCCTCTCTCCCGTCTTCTTTCTTTTTCCACGGGCCAGTGTAGGAAGTTTGCACAGAGTGATTGATACAAACGAGCCAGAGCTGACCAATGTGTAAACTGATCGGTGCTTATGTGTAACGCTTTGAATTGCCACAATTATTTCTGCACATTGGGCCTGCCTTAAATGTGGAATCCGCTATTCCAACATCAGTTCCCGGTTTTTTTTGTGTTTTGTTTTTTTTTTTTTTTTTTTTTTTTTTTTTTTTTTTTTTTTTTTTTTTTAGTTCCCGGCAGGGTAATTGCCTCTCCTTCCGTAGCGCGCAGTTGCCAGCTGCCCGGCTGCCCTGGGAGCTTTGAAGTGGAAGGCGCACCACGGCTTTTCTAAACGCCGCTCATGCGCGCGCTGGAAAGGAGGGCGCTGGGTCATCCTCAACCTCATCCACCTCCCGATCCCGTTCTTCTTTAAAAAGCCAGGTGGCGCCAACTCTCAACCCCTGCTAGAGCTGGAGGATCTTCCTGCCGCGCTCAGGGGGGGAGGAGAGTTGGAAGAAGGGCACCACCTCAGGCCAGCTCTTTCGTTCTGCGCCCTCCGCTCTGCGCCCTCGGCTCTGCGGAAAGGGACACGTGCTTTTCTCTTCTTCCGCACCCCTCGCAGGATGACGGCAAGCCTAAAGGGAAACGAGGTGTCCTGTGTGCCACATGGAGCTCGGGGAACGGAAATAATTAAAGCCATGAGGTTTCCTGGCTCTACGCGGTGTTTACGGTGGGTTTTGATTTGGGGAAGGAGAGCGAGGAGAGGTTAAGGCCGGTTCCAATCTGCCAGCATCCTGTATCGGTCTGTGCAGCAGATGACGCGTGCGTCCGGGAGGGCTCGTGCCCCTCCGTGTGCGCGTAGCGGGGGGTGCAAGATCGTGTCTCTGGGTGTCGTGTGGGGTGGCCTACCTACTCCGAAGTAACCGAGTAGGTGCATGTTAATTTTTAAAAAAGTAGAAATCCTCCCAGCTGGGAAAGGAGGGCTCTAAGATTCCCTCGTATGACAGCGGAGGGTCTGAAGCTATTAAGGAAGGCACCCGTTTTAGTTTTCAAACCCCATTTTTATTCTTGCAATGTTTCCAGTCTTTGAACTACTGTCGTTTAACAGGAAGAAGGAAGAGACTCCATTATACGAGCATATCGACTTACTTGATCTAAACCAAACATCGCTGAACAAAAATGTTGGTTGAAGCCTAGCAAATAACTACTAATCTGGTAACGAGAATTTAGCCATACGCAAGGGCTGCTGTTGCAAATCATCACCAAATTCGAAGTTAAGATGAACTCAATAAAAGGTTTTTTTTTCCCTCCTTTTCAATTCGCAGGAATACTAAAAGTAGAGTTGGTATCATGGCCTATAGCAATTTTAAGATTTTAATTGAAATGACAGTAACATACATACAAACACACAGAACACTCAACAACATTAGTAATGATGACAGTGTGCTATTAATGCTGCTTTTTATATGGTGCTGGTGTTGTTTATTACAGTGTATGCTTAGAGCAGGGTTTCTCATACTGCAGGTTGCCAACCATTAGTGACTCATGAAATCAGCACTGTGGGATTTTGATCAGTATTTTTTTTTAATTTTTTTTTTAACGTTTATTTATTATTGAGAGACAGAGAGAGCCTGAGCAATGGAAGAGCCAAGAGACCGGAGACACAGAATCCGAAGCAGGCTCCAGGCTCTGAGCTGTCAGCGCAGAGCCCAACGCGGGGCTCAAAGCCGCAAACGGAGAGATCATGACCTGAGCCAAAGTCAGACGCTTAACCGACTGAGCCACCCAGGCGCCCCTGGTCGGTACTTTTTTTTTTTTTTTTTTAAAGAAAATGGGAAAGACTAAAAAATATCAGAAGCATGTAAGAATAAATATTCTCTCAGAAATCTTTTTCCCCCCATTTATGTGTTGTATGTATGTATTGGGTCACAATGTAAAATGTATTTCTTATCATGGACTACATTAAAAAGGAGCTTGAAAGCTGTGGTTTTTAGAAAAATCCTTGTTGCTCTAGGCAGGTTCCCATCAGTACTATGCTTTTTGACTGGGGGGTGCAAAGCTAAAGCCCCTGCTGCCCTCTGATGCTCTACACTGAGCTAGAGTGGGTATTTATCACCCTTGCAGATTCCACACTGAGCATGACCCACAATGCAAATAAGATTGGGAAGTGGGTGCTCAGGTTTTTTTTAATTAAGACAATTTTTTTTTAAATTTTATTTTATAAGTAATCTCTAAGCCCAACCGGTCTGGGACAACCGGCAGATCAAGAGTCACATGCTCTACCGACTAAGCCAGCCAAGCACCCCAGGTATCCAATTTTAAAATCTCAACGTGGTTCTTTCCTGATTGTGAAGACTATACCAGAGAAGAGGTGGAGGCAGGCTTCAGGCCCCAGGGAGAAGATAGGCAGGAAAGGATCACGTGGAGCCCCAGGCCTCAGAGAGGAATGGTAGCAGGAGGAAGGTTACCATAGGGATCTTGAAGCAAAGACGTAAGCACAAGCCTGCTTATTCAAACTAGGTGTGGGAGGACTGTCCCGCTCTCCCAAAGGGTAGGGGGAGGGGTGGCTGGAGTCGTGCGTTTTGGAAAAGAGACTCATCTTTTTTCCTTTAATTTTTTAAATGTTTTTATTTATTTTTGAGACAGAGAGAGACAGAACATGAGCAGGGGAGGGGCAGAGAGAGAGGGAGACACAGAATCGGAAGCAGGCTCCAGGCTCCGAGCCATCAGCACAGAGCCCCACGCGGGGCTCGAACTCACAGACCGTGAGATCATGACCTGAGCTGAGGTCAGACACCCAACCGACTGAGCCATCCAGGATCCCCAAAGAGACTCATTATCTTAACAAGAGCAGGTAGAATAACCTTGAACCCTGAGAAGCAAGTTAGGAGCTCAGTGATTGATGTTGGGGGTAAGGAATGCTTTTGCCCTTCATCCTCTCTGTCCCAGCATTGCAGAGGAGCAGATACTATTACTGTTTTAGGGCCCTGATTAAACCATATTTACTAGAGGCCAGGTCATTTTGTGTTTAAAGGTAATGGCTCCCTTTGGCTCTTTCTCCTATTTCCTGGTAAGTGGACCTACTGGGTACAGCCTGCCCTAAGGGATGGCAACCCTTAATTGGTTTAAGCCATTAAACCATTAAGCCCTTAATGTCAACCATTTAAGGGTTGACATCCCTTTCTCACTTCAAATACTAGGACTAGTTAGCTGAGCTGAGATGTATGCTGTTTTCGCCCCTAGTAATCCTCCGGGCACTGTTTTCCATGTCTTGTTGTTCCAGAAACATCTAATTCCCTCTAGCAGTTGTTCTCAAACTTTAGCGTGCATCAAGTTGCCTGGGGAGCTTTTTAAACCACAGTTTGCAGGGTTCCACACCTATTTTGGACTTACCAGGTGTGGGGTGGGGCTTGAGGATTTGCCTAACAAAGTTCCCAAGCGATCCTGCTGCTGCTGTCTCAGGACCAACCTTGAGAACCGTTTTGCTCCATAAAATTCTGAGAAGGGTGTGGAATAGGAAGGCGACTTACGGGGAAAGATAAAAGCACTCCAGTCATCTTTGCAGCGAGGATTCAGGGTACAATCTAGGTTCTGAGAATGAAATGCAGTCACAAAGGATCGAAAGGCAAAAAAGAGCACACTCCCTTCCTTTAGCTTTGTGGGTGCCTAAGAGGGCTCTGGAAGGCATGAGTATGGGCAGTGGCTGCATTCCAGGGTTCACTGTCTAGTCACCAGCTTTGTGGTGAGGGGGCCTCTGACGGCAGCCCCCGACTCTACTCCTCCAACCCTTCCACTTGATTAACTTCTTTAAATCCCTCTGAGTTTGAAAGATCTAAAGGGTCTTCTGTTTCCTGTGTCAAACCCTGACTGACCCAGGGAACAAAGCTATGTTCCCTCAGGAACCTGAGGTCTGGGTTAGTGTGGGCAGACGGTGGCAGAGACCCTGTGGGTGGTGAGATGACTGTCCTCAGCTGGGGGAAATTTGGGAGTGGTGAGCCTGATCCCAGGGAACCTGCCTGCTATCAAGAGGGGAGTGTGGACATAGCCTCACTTCTGCTGGTTCCTGTTCTGATTTTCACAGCAAAGCAGGAAAGACAGGAATTTTGGGAGAGTTCAGGCGAAAAATTTATACTAGGGCTCAGTGACTCTGTCCGGTCAATTTTGATGCTTGATTGTGTACTGTCCTGTACTGTGCTCTAACTTCTGGGCATTCACTCCATGATGAGGTTATAACCTGTTGAAGGCAAGGTAATGAGTTTTCAGTTTCCGACCTGAGAGTAAATGCTGAGTTACTTGGGCAAATCTGCTTCACCCGGTGTGATCTGGGAGCTGAGTGGACATTGCAAATTTCTGCTGCAGCACAGAGAATGGGCCCGTCCCCTCTGTCCACCTTGCTGCCTAAAACCCCACCTTAGGGCCCTGAACCTGCAGATATTATTCAGGAGCTGATTCTGTGACTCATCAGTTCTTCCTGAGCAGAGACAAGAGCAAATATATACATCACTTAACTAATTTCTATCCAGAAGGAGTTGATTGCTCTGGAACTGTGTCATTGTTCACAAATGCATGGTACCTCTCTCTGCAGGAGGCACACACATCCCCACTCTGTGGCACACAGCTGTGGTCATGAGACTGGCCCTGGCAATGAAGTAGGCGTGGAAATGACTGTCTTTGGTCCTCAGTCCCTCTAATCACATTCAGCAATGATGCAGATACATACATCTATCTAGTGGCTCCAGATAGGGGGGGGGGGGGGCCCAGAGTAAAGAGTGTGGAGCAGGGCTATAGGAATCCAGAATGGACATGTTGCTTAAACTTCTGTTTTTATATTAATTCTGTACTGGTTAATTTACTTCCGTGAAGGGGTTGAGATTCTAGAGGCCTAGTGAATCACACCTCTCATCCTAGCCTGAGTTTGGTCCCAAAGGGCTGGACTGGGCATGCCCAGGTCCTTCTTCCAAATGTACCAATCAAATTGCCCCTCCACCTTCACATGGGGGAGAAGGGGGCAGGGCATTACTCCAAAGGAGGTCCTACCCTCAGAAAACTTTAGGCAAGGGAAACAGAGGTTTCAGAAGAGACTTTGTAGAATTATATTGCTCTATGCATCTAAAAGATTTTGTCAGAAATAGAAATATTAGGAGAGGCCATAAATAGGTTAACTTTCGTCTCATTTTTATTCTTGCATCTATGAAGGCCTGGGGGAGACATTCATGTGACAGATCAAGGCATTGAAATAAAAGTTTAGGCAATGGTAATCCTAATGGTTATTAAATAAAGGTAACGCATTAGCACATAGCTGCAATCGGGAAGCTACTCTATAGTAAATGAGACCCAAGGCCTGAACGTTAATATGGCGGACTTTCTGCCAAGACGTGCCTCGCTCCAAGGGCCTGGCCCACTGTTAATTGATGGCCTGTGGCTCGCAGCACAGTGCTCTGCTCTGGCTGCTGGGCCTGAGGGACAAGGGGTTGTTTTGAAACCCAGCTTCTTAATGAAGCAGATCCCAACCCTGAAATGTGCAAGAAAATAATCTGAAAGTGTGATGAAAAACTGGTCTATTGAAAAGTCAGTGACCTTTCCAGTGTTGATTTTAAGATAATAGATTTGTTTTATTTGACACTTTGGTAAATGATACAATAAAACATAAAAAGGTCAAAGAAATTATCCAGTGTGTTTCATGTCCTGCAGCCTGGCATATCTACACTATATGCTTGCAAATAACAATTATTATTAGCGAAATTTTGTTGCAAATTTTGGCATGGACTGTTTTGGAGTGCCAGACTTTTAGGCGCAATCACAGAATTGGCAAGATTTGAGGGATTTTTTTTTTTATTTTTTTTTTTTACTGATTTAATAGCATTTCTCTTTATTGTCTCCATAATCACCTGCTTTATGAACTGTGGCAAGAGCTGATGTTGCAACTGGTTAATTTTCTTAGAACCCAAATGCATTTATATTTTTCCATCTTTTGATTTCCATCATTTCTGGGAATTGTTAGTCGATGGAATAAAAAGAGAAAACATTATAAACAATTCAAAACACCAAAAACAAAATTCCTTGGACCTTTTACAGATACCACACATGCAAATAAATGTGGCTTTGCATTCCAATGCCATTCGAGTGGGGATTACATTTTCCTCATTAACCTCTTTGTTAACCAAACAGTATTGCTTTTCAAGCCTGTTTTATAGAAATCAAGTTTGACATTTTAAATTGATTCACACTGACTCCATTCAAGTGAAGAGGCAGAATGTCTTCTTTTGATCCTGGTCATTTGGGCAATCCTGGTTGGATTGTACCAAAGTCGCCTACTGGTTTAGGATGAAACCGGGAGATTGGATTGCTTGCAAAACCAAAACATGAGAGGTACTAAGTGTGCTTTGTGCTGCATTTCCAAGGAAAGAGGGAGAAGAAGCAAGAGTGATGTGCACCTGAGATCTGAACTTGCCCGCTTTCCTATGGCAAATGGTTTCTAAAAAGAACGTACTTGTTTTTAATTGAAAGAATACTCGATCTGTTTTCCATCAGTCATAACCAGTAATTCCTCTGCTAATATGTGGACCTTAATGTGAAGCAGTAGGAATCTTCTCTTTTCTCGAGGAGAGCCGACAGAGTTGCTCAGAACGATGGCACAATTTTTGTAGGAGCAGGAATGTAACTTGAGTATTTTTAAAGCTTCTGTAAACACTCCTGCACGAATCTGCAGTTTTTGCAGTGTGTATTGTTTTCGGTGTTGGTATTTGGCAGTGGATGATGAAATATTTGTGTGTTTATAGGTCTGTCCAGCTAAGTAAGATGAAAAGAGACCTTAAAGTAACTCTCAGCCCGAGTTAAACCTACCAATTTTGGGAAATCCCGTATCGGTTGTGTTCGCTGTGCCCTTCGCTCCGTTTTGTTTTGGCAGGCGTTCTCTTTCATTCCACCATCGTCTCATGCGTTGTTTTTAAACTCCCGTAATCCCAGCGCAAGATGGCATGAGTTAGAGTCGGGGAGAGGACCAACACTAGTTTTCTAAGTGTCCACGGTTTCAAAGCACGCCCTTTCGTGTCACTCGACACCATTTTCTGCATGTGCTTTCTTTAGAACGTGGAGAAACACGTTACCGAGAGTTTGTCCGATGAAAGCGAATTGCCAGACATTTGCAAAACTGAATTATTGACAGAATGCGTGTGATTCCGCGAGGACCTGCTTGATTGAAAGCAGCCGCAGTGTTTCAACATGAGAATGTGGCGTATCCTTTCTGTTGTCTCTCTGTTTCTAGATTGCTATAGAGCACACCTCTGGACCTCCGCCGTCCCCAGATAGCAGTTTCTACACGGCTAACTCAGAACAGACTAGAGCTAGCGCTTTGGGACACTGGATGCCTCTCATGCCCCAAGCGAACATTCGGGACAGTCGCATCCTCGAGTTCTCCCAGGGGCGTCTCTAATTCCCAGGAGGCTGAATGCCTGCAGTGCTGGACGCGGCCTACCCACCAAGCTGCACAAGCGCGCCCGGTTGGCTCCCAGCTTGGGCTGTGGTTGCTGAGACACAGCCCTGCCCTCAGTAGGCCCTTTGAAGAGATGCGTATTCAAGTCCTGCAGCTTCGGGGTTGATGTGTCGCTCACCCTCAGAGGCCCCAGTTTGGCTGACATTCAGCCTACCTCTGAGAATGACCCCTAAAATCGGCTCTGCCACTAACCAGAAGCAAGGCCGTTTCTATGGTGAAAGAACCATCGCCTCACGGAAAATTGCCTTTGCAATTTTGCAAAATTGCATTTTGCATTGATAATAACTACCAATGAGAGTTTAAGATTTTTTTCAGAAGCCCAAATGTGTGGTGCGTGTGATGTGTGGTAAGAGTTTCGAAGATCGAATGTATTTGACATCTCAATTGCCTTTTGACGAGTGGAGAATAGGCATCCAGAAAACTGACCAAAGAAGGAGAAACCATTTGGCTTCATTTTCTCATTTTAAATTACTTCCTTTGTCAAATGACTCCCTTAAACTAATAAGGGAAACCATCGAAGGCAATGTAGTTCATCTTTATTTGGAATTTCAGAAAAGCTAATGTCCCTAATGTCTTCTGAACTTTTCAAAGGACCTTTTGCTGTGTAGTTTCGTCTTTTTTTTTTTTTTTTAATTTTTATTCATTTTATGTGTTTTTTTAAGGGAGTGTGTGTGCAAGATGGGGGGAGGGGCAGAAATTGAGAGAGAGAGAGAGAGAGACAGAGAGAGAGAGAGAGAGAATCCCAAGCAAGGTCCTCACACAGTGCAGGGTCCCAGCTTGGGGCTAGATCTCACTACTGTGAGATCATGACCTGAGCTGAAATCAAGAGTCAGGCGCTCAACCGACTGAGCCACCCACGCGCCCGTGGCCTCATCTTGTTTAAAGATGTTAGAGCTGTGTTGAGGTTGATATCAACAATCAGAAAGTAATATCATGGTTCTGGTTGTCATTATCCTGTTTAGACACGCTAGAACTAGATTGCCTGTGTTAAAACTTAATGGACTAGAGAAGCATCCAGAATCTTAATGATGGGGGCTTCCACTCTCCAGGCATCTGCCAGATGTTTCAATTTCTAAACTCACAACATCCGATAAATCCATGATTTGCCTCACTTAGTGTTCTCAGCCCTGGCTGCACATTAGAATAATCCCAGAATTAAAATTGTTTTTTTTGATAGGGAGGCTCCACCCATTCTAATTTAGTAAAGCAGAATTTCTCAGGGTAGGTCCCCAGACTTCTTTTTTAAGTACCCCCAAATGATCTGAATGTGCAGCCAGGTTGAGAATCACTAACCCGCACGATAATTTCATCTTTCAGAAAGCAGAGGAAGTGATGAGGATTAACACCCTGCTTCTAATTCTGGCCGACTCAGAGGCCCTGTGTGGAAAATCAGAAGTGACAGGAATCCTGGAAGAGGGCCACCTGGCCATCAGAAAATTCCAGAGGGATGTGGTCACTGCCAGACACACACTCGGTTAGTGGGAGTTTTAAAATATCTCAGGAAATTATAAAAGCGGGACTTTGATCCTCACGCCCCACCACCCTCCCATCTGAGATTCCGAAAAGAACAGGGGAGAGTCCTCAAAATAAAATTCAGATGCTACTATTGTAAATGGTCATAGACGGTGGGCGGGGTTGGGGGGAGGGGGAGGAAGAAGAAGGAAAGAAAAAGGAAGGAGGTAGCCAGAAAGATTTAGTGTGTTCCTGCAGGAAGGTGTCTGCTGAAAGCGGATGTATTTTTAGATGGTATATGTAAAATGTGAAAGATGATCTAGAAAAACAAGCATGGGTATAAAAACTCTGTCACGAATATGTGAGAAAGGAAGAGCCGGAAAGATTAAATCCAGAAGGAGGCTAACATCCTAGATGACAAAGAGGGCTGTTTGAAACAAATGCAGGAACGTGTAGAATCCCTGCAGGGCTGTGATCGCTTCAGGTGGAGGTTGTGTCAATGGTGAAAATACAAGGTGGCCACACCCTCAGACGCCATTTTATTCTTTAGACGAGAAAGTGTGGGAGGAAGTTTGGTAAGAAGGAATTGAAAAATAAGATCACTGAGCAAATGCTAGCTGTCCTAAATAAACTCAAGCACTGGAAATAACAGACCAGAACCTTAATAGAATTTTCAAGTGAAATTGCTTTAATCTTTAAAAACTAGGGAGAATGAAAGAGGAACCGTGAACTATAGACTCAAAGACCTGCTGGTTCTTCAGTTCAAAAATTCTAGAATTTACTTTTAAATGCAGTTTGAATGTAAGACTTGCCAAGTTAAAGCCTACCTGTGACATAGTTCATGAAGAGACTGGAGACAGGAAACACAAAAATTTATTTGTGTGTTTGTTTGTTTAGTCATCTTTACACCCATTGTGGGGCTCGAACTCACGACCCCAAGAATAAGAGTCCCCTGTTTTTCCAACTGACCCAGCCAGGTGCCCCAGGAATCATACAATTTTACATAATGCAAATTCAGAAGTTTACAACCTTTGAGAATTAGATAAATGCACTTTAGAAATGGTTAGATAGTATAGTATAACACACTATCCCAAAACTTAACGGATTAAAACAGCTACTGTTCATTTGTTCAGACACGATTCGTTTCTGTGTCCATCTGGGTGGTTCTCCTGCCGGTTTTGTCTGGGATCACTCAGGTAGCTTCGGTCACGTATAGCTTAACTCAGGATAGACGGTCCCAGGTTGCCTTAGTCACACGTTTGGCGGTTGTTGCTGGCTGTCAGCTGAACCACGTGTCTCCAGCAGGAGAGTAGGCTCTGATTTACATAGTAAGGGCAGCATTGCAAGACAACCCAAGCAGAAGCTGCAAGATCAAGGCTCCGACGTCACATAACATCACTTCTGTCTGGTTCTAATCGGTCAGAGCGAGTCACGGGGCCACCTTAGATCAGTGGTCAGGGAAATAGAAAATACCTTTGAGTGAGAGGTGCCAAAACTCATATACCCAGCCTACCATACCCCTCCTCAGAAAAATGCTTCTATACTAATGCTTCTCCATGCTTCTATACATCAATATTTTAGTTTCAGGGGATCCATGGATCCTTCCAATCCAAGTTAAGAGCCTTTATTCTAACCATGGCATATTTAAATGAGAAAATTAAAGCCCAAGAAGATTAAAGATTTGCACAAAGTCAAACAGATATTTATGTAGTATACAAGCGTTTGAGTGTGCCTACCGTGGATGTCTTATAACTACCGGTCCTGTGCCATTTTCATTATGCCCAATCGACAATCACTTTATTATTACAGGAAATGGATTTTAGCAATTTTATAAGTCACCATTTGATTACCAGATCAGGATAATTTAAGTCAAATGTATGTAGGAAAATATAAGTATTTAATTGAATTAGCATACTCTATACATACATCCAGATAGGAAAGTGGGCTGGTGAAAATATCTGTGAGGACCAAATTATGTAATTAATGTACAAACAGGCACAATTATGTACAAATTATGGGCATTTCCTGAAGTTTGACTCTCTTTTTACTGATAGGTAGTCTATGCTTCAACTAACTCGTCCTGAAAAGTTGATACTTTGTGATGAGCAAGATCGTTTTCACTTTCAAACCATCTACTTAAAAGTCGTTCATTAAGAAGAACAGCAAATAATCAATTATTTTGATTGTAACTTACATAAAAACCAGGCACTATTGCCATTTCAAGTTTTGGGGTTTTTTCCTCATGAGATAAAGATAATTAAAAGAAGGTGATGTGGTTTAGTTTAAATTGTTGCCTTTTTGTTATTGTTCTTGCCAGTAGACGACTTTTCATGTGAGGGCCACAGGTTCTAGTTAAATTTTTTTTAAATGATTAATATTTATATATTCATTTACTTTATTTTAATTTTATTTTTTGTTTGTTCCTTTTTTATTTATTTTTTTTAAGTAGGCTCCTTGCCCAACATGGGGCTTTAACTCATGACCCTGAGATCAAGAATAGCATGTTCTATCAACTGAGCCAGCTGGGCACCCCCACTTCATTATTATTATTATTATTATTGGTAGATTTGGCAGGTGTATCTGATCCACAGATGGGGAGAAACTAGTTTGAAACATCCAATTTTCAGATTAATAAAAGTAAGCTTTTTCTTTTTATCATAAGAATGTTCAAACATGCAGAGAAATAGGGGTGCCTGGGTGGCTCAGTCAATTAAGCGTCCGAATTCGGCCCAGGTCATGATCTCACAGTTCGTGAGTTCGAGCCCCGCGTCAGGCTCTGTGCCTACAGCTTGGAGCCTGGAGCCTACTTCGGATTCTGTGTCTCCCTCTGTCTTTCTGCACCTCCCCAGCTCATGCTCACACTCTGTCAAAAATAAATAAACTTAAAAAAATTTAAAAAAAAAATGCAGAGAAATAGAAAAAAAAATAGTACAATAGATACCCATGACCCAATGTAATCAATAGTTATCATTGTGCTATCTCTGCCTCATATGTTTTGTTGTTGTTGGACCATTTTAAAGTTAATCACCCCCAAGAACTTAGGTATACATCTGCGAAAAAATGAGCACATCCTTTTACATAACCAAATTATAATATATGCCACTTAATAAGTTAATATTAATGCCCTAGTATCATGTAATACCCAGTCCATATTTAAATTATAACATTGACTGGAGTTACCATTAAAAAAAATATTATAATGTTGGTTTTATAGATTTTTTTTCCAATTTAGAATCCAGCTGAATAGCACATACAATTACGTCTTCAGTCTTTTTATTTTTATTTATTTATTTTTTTAATTTTTATTTGAGAGAGAGAGAGAGCTCAAGTGGGGAGAGGGGCAGAGGGAGAGAGGGAAAGAATCACAAGCAGGCTCCACACTTAGTGTGGAGCCTGGCATAGGGCTCGATCCCACGACCCTGGGATCATGACCTGAGCCTAAATCAAGAGTTGGATGTTAAACTGACTGAGCCGCCCAGGTGCCCCTTTAGTCTTTTAAAATCTAGAATATCATACATATGCAGTTTCCATATGCCATGTTGGCTTTTTGAAGAGTTGAGGCCAATTGTCTTCTAGAACATCCAGTTCTGGACTTTGGATTCTTTTTTTCTTTTCCTTTTTTTTTTCTTTTTCTTTCTTTTTTTTCTTTTCTTTTCTTTTTTTTTTTTTTTACAGTTTAGTTATTTATTTTTGTTTTTTTTATTTTTTAAATGTTTTATTCATTTTTTTAATGTTTATTTATTTTTGAGACAGAGACAGCATGAATGGGGGAAGATCAGAGAGAGAGGGAGACACAGAATCTGAAGCAGGCTCCAGGCTCTCAGCTGTCAGCACAGAGCCCGACGAGGGGCTCGAACTCACGGACCGTGAGATCATGACCTGAGCCAAAGTCGGAAACTCAACCGACTGAGCCACCCAGGCGCCCCACGTTTTATTTATTTTTGAGAGAGACAGAGACAGAGTGCGAGTGGGGGAGGGGCAGAGAGAAAGGAAGTCACAGAATCCGAAGCAGGCTCCAGGTTCCAAGCTGTCAGCACAGAGCCCCATGTGGGGCTCGAACTCACGAACCATGTGATCATGACATGAGCCGGAGTCAGACGCTTAACCGATAGAGCCACCCAGGGGCCCTAGTTATTTATTTTGAGAGAGAGTGCAAGGGGAGAAGGGCAGAGAGAGGGAGAGAGAGAATCCCAGGCAGGCTCCACACCGTCAGCACAGAGCCCCACACAGGGCTCGAACTGACAAACTGTGAGATCATGACCTGAGCTGAAATCAAGAGTCAGATTCTTAACCGACTGAGCCACCCAGGGCCCCCAATTCTTTTTTCATGGAGCTTAAACCTACTCCTCTATCTTCTGTCTGTCCCTTGGGTCTAGTCTTGATGAGATTTAGGGTATACATTTTGAAGAAGAAGTGAGACTATCTGCTTCATATTGTGTGAGATCAGCAGCACATTAAACCTTGCTGCCCCACTGCTGTTGACACCCAGTTTGGTCCTTGAGTTAATGTGATGGCAAACATGGCTCTTTTCACTAATAAGATGCATTTTCCCTTCGTCAGTTAGTAGATCAATCAGGGGGGTGGTGTTTTGGCACCATGAACAATTCAGTTCCCTAAAGTCAGGTGTTTTTTCAAAAACAACTCATTGTGCTTTTGGTTTTATAAAGTATTATATTCAGCTTTTCAAAGTTTTCATCTAGCTGGGTCTCTTCAACCTAAAATTATGAAAACAGACCAATGTCTGTATTAATCAGTTAGGTAATAATTCATTCTCTGCTCACATCTTTGTCATTCGGGGTACCATTTTGGTCTACAAGAGTCATGCACATCTGGGCTAGTAAATTGGGCATCGGAGGGTTCCCAGAGCCATGTGTCGGTAGTTCTTTTCTTCACTCATTTTATTGTACGATTACTACATGCCCCAGTTCAGAAATGGAGCTATGTAGAAGGTTATGGAAGTGAATGTCATATTGCCATGAACAATGAAATGCAATCCCAGCAGCACCCGCTGTACGAAGAAACCAAGCACTGACAGGAGGTATGATGGCCACTAGACTCTTACCATGAACTAACTGTGCCACACGTTGAAATTGAAACGTGGGTCCCTCGGAGTAACTCCTTTGAGTAACTCCTTTGTTTCTTTTTTCCAAAAGGTCAGAAGACACGAGTGAAAAAATACCAGCAACCAAACATGGTGGTGTCAAGCCTAGTTAGGAATAAAAAAAAAACCACATGTCTAAAATCTGTGTCTGCTCGTTTTCTTTATTTCGTTAGTTTCGTGTCACCCTCACCTGTGATTCATTTGCCTTTCGTCATCTTCCACAATGGCTTCTGTAAGAATATCGGTCTTGAAACATACAACGTGGCTCGCACCCACTTCAAACATTGCTTAAAATGTCATGTATTATTTTGTGCTGTGGCCTCACTAAAAGCCAACGTTACCGAGACTGCAGAGTACATACTTCAATTCCCAGGGTAAGATGGGAAAGAGAGAGCAAGAGCAAGCCAGAGGGAGGGTTAAAACCATGAGATGCTCCGTGGCAGACACGTGAGGAAAATAAGAAAATTCAGAAGTCTTACAGCCAGCTATTCTGTAGACACGAGAAAACTGGAAACTGCCCAAACCTGGGCTCAGTAGAGGACAGAAGTGTGTTGAAGGCCAGGAGTGGTATTTTTTCCAGCAAGAGGTCACTTACTTAAGGACCTCATTCCCAGGATTACAAAGATTCGCCTGAGTAGCCCAGGGAGCACTTATCTGCAGGAGAATTAGTAAAATGGAGAGCTGGGATTCTGTGTGAGCCACCTATTACCTGGGACTCTATTTAGAACTTGAAATGAACACTGGGAATACATATTATATATTACATACACATACATACATATTATGTATTACATAATACATATTACATTGGTATCAGCAGATGAAAACTATATTAAGTAGGAATTACATTTTTCTAATTAGCTTAACTTTTCAGATACTAAAATTCAGGTGTTTGGGGGAGCCAAACCTAATCACTAGGGTTGAGTGTCATTCCTTCACAGAAAAACAAAAAACAAAACCATGTGCTGAATATCTCAGGCCGGGAACTCAATCATATGAATTCAATTCACCTTCCTTCCTCCACCGGGGAAGAATAGTCACCTCCAGGGGCACTTGGGTGGCTCAATTGGTTGGGCACCCGCCTATTGATTTTGGCTCAGGTCATGATCTCCCAGTTCATGGGCTCGATTTGGGATTCTCTGTTTGGGATTCTCTCCCTCCCTTCTCTCTCTGCCCCTTCCCCACTCCCTGTCTCTTTCTCTCTCAAAATAAAAAAAAAGGAAAAGAAAAGGTCACCTTCAATGGACGACTGCTTCTACGTGGGCTGCTCTGGCCTTGGAAGGGGACGGTGTCCCAGCTGTCCATAGATTTGGGCTCTATTTTTTGTTGTTGTTGTTTATTTATTTTGAGAGAGAGAGAGAGCGACAGTGGGGCGGGGGGAGAATCCCAAGTGGGCTCCACGCTCAGTGCAGAGCCCAACAAGGGGCTCGATCCCACAACCGTGAGATCATGACCTGAGCTGAAATCAAGAGTCAGATGCTTAACCAGCTGAGCCACCCAGGAACCTTAGGTGTGTGCCATATTGATATATCCCCACTTCAACACCTTCGGGAGACGTACTTTGAAGGACAGAATAAGAGTATTTACCTAAGAGGGAAGAGAAGATGGAAAGGAAACTTTCCTGTTTCTGGTGCAGTGAATATTTTTTTACCCTTTTTCTGAAAAAGTTCTAAGTCACACCTTTATACAGAGCTCAACTTCCAGACCACACATATGTTTTAGGCAATTATTTACTCAGCAGCTCACCGCAGCAGGGTGTCCTTATGTGGAAGCAGCAATAGGTATGCACATAAGAGTGTAAGGGGCATTGAATTACAATTTTCATTCCTCTTACTGAAGAGGCTTTGGCTGGAAGAGCCTCCACAGCCCCCACCTTTACCTACTGTTTGTTTCAATAAACTTACTTGTGTGCAGTATGACCATTTTCAACTTCAAATTCCGATAGATGGGCAAACAATTTCTTCCCTCTGTTCCCCGTAAGATAAAGAATCCATAGACAAGGCATCACACAAAAATGCGCATCGAAGTCACAAATGATGGAAATTCTCATACAAGTGAAAACTCAGCGTGGGCTGTTATTGTGAAGGCCCCAAGTGACTGGATAGCCTTTAGAGAGCTGGAAGGAATGCAAGGATTGATGTGGGAAACAAAAGCAGAAGAAAAAAGTTACATTTCCTTACTACTCACAGCCCATTGACAAGTCCTTGAGACAGGCAGTGACCTTCCCCTAGGAACTCAGCTGCCTGGATGTTAATACTGTGCTAAGGGCAAAAGGCAACCTTAGCATAACATTATCCCGACCTCAAGGATCCTGTAAGTCTCCTTTAACGTAAACAAATTCCTTTGGAGGGGTGCCTGGGTGGCTCAGTTGGTTAAGCATCTGACTCTTGATTTCAGCTCAGGTCATGATCTCAGGTCCATTAGATTGAGCCCCACCCCCCACCCCAAGTTGGGCTCTGCACTGACAGTGCAGAGCCTTCTTGGGATTCTCTCTCTCCCTCTCTCCCTCTCTCTCTCTCTCTGCCCATCCTCACCCATCCTGTCTCTCAAAATAAATAAATAAACATTTTTTAAAAATTTCTTTGGAAACGCATTCCAGAGGCTCATGTAGTTCTCCATGTTGTCCATCCACTCAGAGACACTGAGTTGCCCACCAACCTGGGTTGTCTCTGGTTACAAATTCAATCTCTTCAACTCTATCCGCCTTATGATGGGGGCTGGTTGCCAAGGAAAACTTCAGTCCCAACCCTCGACCTCTGGGGAAGGAATTGGGGCTGGAAGTTGAATCAATCACCAGTGGCTGGTCGATGATTGAGTCAACTACGCTTGTGTGGTGGAGCCTCCATAAAAACCAAAAGGAGGGGGTTTGGAGAGCTGCTGAGTTGGACATGGGGAGGTGTGGGGAGAGTGGTTTGTTCCGAGAGGGCAAGGAAACTCTGCACACTTTCCCCACACCTTGCCTTATGCATCGCTTCCATCTGGAAGTTCCTGAGTTCTATTCTTTTACAATGAACTGGTAGTCTCATAAATAAACTTTCTCTGAGTTCTGTGAGCCACTCCAGCAAATTAATCAAACCCAAGGAGGGGATGGTCATGGGCACCACCAATTTATAGCCAGCTGGTCAGAAGCACAGGCAACAACCCGGACTTTCGACAGGCATCGGAACTGGGATGGAGCAGTTTTGCGGGACTGAGCCCTTAACCTGTGGGATTTGATGCTGTCTCCAGCTAGACACTCAGATGGTGTCACAACATTGCTTGATACATGGAAAGCCCACCCAGCTGGGGTCAGAAGTGAAAGGGTGTGAGAGTCAAACAGAGACGCACAGGAGTGTGCTTTTCCTTTAGAGACAGGAGTGATATTCGTCACTGCGTTCATTTTGTTAATATAGTTCGTATGCTTTTTTGAAGGATGTGTTGTACGCAAGTCTAGGCCTTTTTCGAAAATCTAAATTTGTCTGACACAAAAATAAAAATGACAAAGTAACTCATAGTTACTCAAGAGAAGAAAGGAAACAAGATGAGTTCATATTTTGAAAAATTAGCGTGGACTATTATTGACTGGGCCCCAAGTGACTGGATAGCCTCCTCTCCCTCCCTTTCCCCTTCCTGTCCCCTCCATTCAGTGAAACTAGGCCTTTCTTTGCTTATTGAATCAAGGAAGTGATGTGACAGCAAGACAAAGGAATAAGAGCCTCTTTCAGGACTTTGAATTTCCAGAGACAAGACCCTAAGGCATCAGAAAACATTCAAGGCATAGATGAGGGGTTTCCAGGGGACAGCTTCCTTCCACCCCTTAGGGTACCTTTGAAAGTGTAGTGAGGGGTAGGAGTAGGTGTTTGTCACAACAACTGGGAAACATTATCCCACTCTGTGCAAATAGTGGGTGGGGCCAGGGATGCTAAACTTCTGCAAAGAGTGGGACAATCCTGCTGACCCAAGTGCCAAGAGCATCCCGTTTAAAAACTCACTGGCAGGCAAGAATACTGAGAAGCTGGAGCTCTTGGTATTGCCAGTGGGAAGGTAAAATGATGCAGCCACCTTGGAAATACTATAGCAGTTCCTCAAAAATGGAACACAGAATTACCATGTGACCCAGTAACTGCATGAGCCTCTGGAACGCGTTGGCTCTGTGTAAACCACCCCAGAGTTCACATGTGACGAGGGACAAAGAAAGTTCCTGAGCTGACTGGATGATGGCTTGAAATAGAATTGTAGGGGCGCCTGGGTGGCGCAGTCGGTTAAGCGTCCGACTTCAGCCAGGTCACGATCTCGCGGTCCGTGAGTTCGAGCCCCGCGTCGGGCTCTGGGCTGATGGCTCAGAGCCTGGAGCCTGTTTCCGATTCTGTGTCTCCCTCTCTCTCTGCCCCTCCCCCGTTCATGCTCTGTCTCTCTCTGTCCCAAAAATAAATAAAAAACGTTGAAAAAAAAATTAAAAAAAAAAAAGAAATAGAATTGTAGCTGCACCATTAAGCTATTATTTCTTGTACCTAGAATCTCCAGTCTAATAGAAAAAGCCGTCCTTGGTGTGGGCTTTGGAGCAAACGGTCAAGAAAGAATTCTTGAGGCTTCTTTGGCGCAAAGAGGTGGTTTTATTAAAGCACGGGGGCAGGACCCGTGGGCAGAAAGAGCTGCATTGGGGTTGTGACAGGTGACTGATATATACCTTCAAGTTGGGAGCAGGTTGGGGATAGAGTAAGTCTCTAAGAAATTTTGGAAGCAAGGTTTCTAGGACCTTAAGTGGGCTAGCTGTTGTAAGGAAAAGGCCATTTATTACTGTTTAATAAAACTGTCGTTATGAGACCCTTCAAATGTGTATCAGTGGGCCATATGCTTGAAGGATGATTGCTAACATATAACTTGGGGGATAGCGATAAAGGAAGTTTCCAAAGAAATTTTTTAAAAATGTTTATTTTGAGAGACAGGGTGGGTGAGGATGGGCAGAGAGAGAGAGAGAGAGAGAGAGAGAGAATCCCAAGAAGGCTCTGCACTGTCAGTGCAGAGCCCAACTTGGGATGGGGGGTGGGGCTCAATCTAATGGACCTGAGATCATGACCTGAGCTGAAATCAAGAGTCAGATGCTTAACCAACTGAGCCACCCAGGCACCCCTCCAAAGGAATTTGTTTACGTTAAAGGAGAC